CTTGACTTGGGAGCCCCTGAGCATGCAGAGGGACAAGTCGGAGCCAAATCGCAAAGGCAGGGACAAGGCTCCCAGTTCCTAGGAGATTCTGGTTTCCTCACCCCTCACCCTCCCACCTCCTGTTCTGGACATATCAGACCCGCTTGCTTGTTGTCTAGCTTTGCTGGGTGTGTGTGTGTGTGGGGGGTGATTTTCCCAATCTACCCTCTTTCGGGGGTATCCATCAAGTCCTAGCTCCTTTCCAATGTCCTGCCTCGGTGGGACTCAAGGCCCAATCACTGGTCCTTGAGGCCTTAATTCGTCAGCTCCCTTTTCTGCAGAGTCCAGCAACACGAGATGACCACCTTCTGTTCCTTCTTACTCTGCTGGTGGTCAGTTCTGTCTCCAACACGTGGCCCTTATGGGTTCCCTTGCCTTCCCATGAGCCCAGCCATGCATTGGAAGATCTTATTCAGCATTTCTTCATTTCACATAAGTGTTGTCAGGTACCCAGCCTGCCCGGAGGTAGAGTCTGTGCGTGTGTCCACCCTGTGGCTGCCTCCTATCGAGGCTGCTTTGTGCCCAGCCCTCTGCAGGGCACGTGTGACACACATATGGTTTCTAACACCAATGTGTGCAGGGTCAGGAACCTGGTAGGTGCTCAAATCATGCCCTTCTCCACACCCCCGAGGTTGAGGTGCAGTTAAAAGGAGAGAGAGCCCAGGGTAGGGGTGTTTGTTGAGCTGGGTACTGGGCTAAGCATGTCACACACACTCCTGTAACTTCTCCGCAGCTCCTATCAGGTAGACACGGGTATCATCTGCATTTCCCAAACAGGGAGACTGAGGCTCAGAGAGGAGGAGGAACTTGCCTAAGCCACGGGCAGGAAATGGTGGAGTTGGGATTGAAAGCCCTATGTAAACAGGGGTGCCAGGGATGGGCTGGCACGGAGTGTCAAAGCAAAGGACCCTGGTATAGTAAAGCCATCCGACAGGTGGAGAGGCCTGCACGTCTGCAGAGAGGGAAAGAGCGGGAGTTGGGAGGGGGGCAGGTTGTTTGTGTCTTAGCCACCGGGGTGAGGGAGGCCTGGAGGTGGATGACGGGTGGTTGGGGAAATCTTCTACCTGAGTGTGGGTCAGCGTGACCTGAGGCCTGAAGCAGCTTGGAGGCTGCCCCACCCACTCCTCACCCGCTGATGAGGTCATCTGCATCCCAACACGCTGGAACCCTTTCCCCTGCCCCTTCCTGAATGGTCAGCCCTGCCTCATCTGCCTGCTCTCGGGCATGTGGGGCCTCTTCCTCCAGGGAGCCCTCCCTGAACCTCCACCCTACCCCACTGTGAAAGCGAACTTGCTGAGGGCTCACTCGGGGCTTCCCCTGCCTGGGTTCATCTTCATCCTGTACAGCAGACACTGCTCTCGAACCCATTTTGCGGATGGAGAGACTGAGGCTCAGAGAGGCTAAGAGGCAGGGTGGCAGCGCCACTGTGCCCAGCTACTCAGGACCCTCCCACTCCCATTTAAAGCCCTGGCACCATCCTGCAGAACCTTTGTACATCCTTATTGGCAGCTCCCAGCCTCCCGGCAGGACCATCTCCAAACACCTGGGAAGACCTGTGGGAAAGCACAGACTCAGTGCTCCCCCAACCCTCCCCCCGTTGAACCTTCCTGTCCAGGTTCCTTCTTGCCCCTTTCCACCCTGACTGGGCAGTCCCTCTCCCCTTCCCCAGCCCTTGCCTTCTGTATCAGACTGATGCCTGAGGACACAGACGTGAATGGGGGCCAGGTCCCAGCCTTCTCTGGAGACGCTCACAGTCTAGTGAGTGGGCCATGGAGAAGAGGAGGGGCTGGACCTATAAACAGCGGGTGACGCACAACAATAATAATAGGGACTGTGAGCATACGACCTGCTGTGTCAGGCAGGTGCCATGAGCCAGGCACGGAGCTGACAGCTTGACACACACAAACTCTTACTGCTCTCTGTCATTACTCTGAGAAAGGTACAATCGCTCTGTCCCCATTTTACAGCTAAGGAGACTGAGGCACAGGGAGGGGTCGTGGTTGGCTGAAAGTCACAGAGCCAGGGATTGATGTTCCTGGGATTTAAGTCCAGGCCCCTAGCTCCAGAGCCTGTGCACACCGTAGGTGTTTAAGAAATGCTGCTTTGTGCTGTGTCGCCAGATGCTGTGAGCGTGTGCGTGCGCACAGTTTACACGGCCACATCAAGGGTGGTGGGGCGTGGGTGGGAGTCGACAGAGGGATCCCCTCATCCGACCTTCCAGAGGCCGGACGACCGGCCCTGCCTGGCCCAGCTGACGCCCCAAGGGCATTCGGTGACGGGATTGGGTGGGTGGGTGTGTGCCTGCCGAGGGGTGTCAGGCAGTGTCATCAGCCCACGATGGAGCTTTCCGGGCGGTCAGTAATGGTGCTCAGTGAGCCCAGCTCCCCCTCCGTAGCCAGGCCTGGCCTTCTCCCGGGGTGCCCTGGATTTGACCCCCGTCTTCCCACCCTTGTCCTCACAGGGAGCCGGGAGGCTGCCTTCACGTACGCCATCATCGCTGCCGGCGTGGCCCACGCCATCACAGCCGCCTGCACCCAAGGCAACCTGAGTGACTGTGGCTGCGACAAGGAGAAGCAAGGCCAGTACCAGCGGGACGAGGGCTGGAAGTGGGGTGGCTGCTCTGCCGACATCCGCTACGGCATCGGCTTCGCCAAGGTCTTTGTGGATGCCCGGGAGATCAAGCAGAATGCCCGGACTCTCATGAACTTACACAATAACGAGGCAGGCCGAAAGGTAGGCAGCCAGGGAGGGGAGCCGGGCAGCTCTTGCAGACGTGCTGGAAAACAGCTTTTCCCTAATGGCTGGTGTTGGGTATCTGGTGGCGAGCCACAGGCTCATTCTGCTCGACTCTGTTGTCCGTTTGCTGCTGGTCAGGATCCGCGTATGGCATGAAGCGTGTCAGTTACTGGAGAGATTGAATAACTGAATCTCTGTTAAAATCAATTGGATGTAACGCAGCAAGATGGAAAGAGGGAGGGACGGATATGAAGTCTTATCCTTGGGTCCACAAAATCAGCCATACAAAACTCTGACCATGGGGACGGGTTGAGGTGAGTTCAGTAGGAATCATCCCTGTGGAACAGCTGCCAAGGCCACTAAAATGTCCTTGGTCACCTTAATCAAGATCTGGAGCTTAAAATAAGGGAGGTGACTGTTCCATCTTTATTGCCTCCTCAGATCCTCCTGGATTCTGGGCTCAGCTGAGAAGAAAGTCAGGGATGTTTTGGGATATTTCTAGTGGAGGTGGCTGGAATAGAAAGGAGGCTGGACACTGTCCCATGAGGAGCTGGCTGTCTCAAGGCAAGGGAGCACAAGGGTCAGCAGGCCCAGAGTACAGAGTGAGGGCCCGTGAGGATTGAGGTCACAGAGAGGCAGGTCCTGCCAGTGTGAGGACAAGCTATAGCCACTGAGAAACAGATTGAGTTATCAAGAAAGTGAGCGCCCCGTCCCAGGAGGTATTCAAGTATAGGCAGCTTGACCAGGCATCTCGGGGCACCCAGGTTAGTGCTGCCTGGTGTGGGCAGTGTCCTGGGACAGAGGCCTGAGGTTGGGAATCGGTTCCGGAAGTGCCTGTGAAGGCCAAGGTGCTCGGAGCCCACCCTGGAGCTTGCAGTCCCCGGGGGTTCTGGGAGAGGAAAGTCTCTGGGGACTGGTTGGAGCTCCATGGCAAAGCCCCTGTGAGCCAGGGCAGACAGGGAGGGGGGCTCCATGCCGCCTGGGTGGGGGATGGACCACTGCAGGGACGAGACACATGTAGGCACCTCCGGAGGCCACAGGGGCCGGGGAGAAGCAGGAGTGACAAGAGCAAGGGAGACCACGCACAGCGCTATGGTGAGCCAAGGAACCCGGGCCCCATTTACGAGACTCCAGCTTGGTTCCCACCTGCTGTGGCCGTGCAGGAACGCCAGCCCGCCGTGGCCAGACTCAGAGTTTACGTGTAATCTCTTCATTTTTGAGTGTTGGCATTGAGAACTGGTAGTCACTGGCAAATGCTTAAAAACTACAGAAAAGATGAAAAGAAAGACCACCAGAGGCTCAGGCACCTCCATCTCCTGCAGAGTGTGGGCCTTGAGCTGCTCATTCTGGGGACAGATGATGATGTGGCACGGATCTTGATCTGCGAGAACGCGACCGCGGGATGGCCGTCTTCTGGCTCTGGATGTATCAGCTCACTTAGTCCTTAAGGCATCCCTGTGAATGGTCTTGTCATTGTCCCTGTTTCACCGGTGAGGACGTGGAGGCACAGAGCCGTGAAGCAACACGCAGCAGTTCTCACGGCTAAGGAGCAAAGTCAGAATTCGAACCCAGTGCATCTGGCTCTCCGGCTGGCCTATTTGCTTCGCCGCGCGCGGCGGCGGCCTGGTGGTCAGAGCGCGGGCCGCCTGGGTTCACATTCTGGCTCTGTCACTCCTTCCTTCACGGGAAAGAAGCAGAGCTCTCAGGAGTGTCCTCAGGGCTGAGGTGGAGAGCACTTACCCCAGGGCCTGGCACGTAGTTCGTGCTCGGCACAGGTTGGGTGTGATCACAAGTTGTGCAAACGTGTGTCACGTTCGAGGGAGTCTGGCGAGTGGTGTTGGGGGTAGCCTGCACACCTGCAGAGGTGCAAGCCCCCCTGGGGTGCAGAGGAATGAGACAGGCCAGCCGGCCCTTCCTGCTGCCTTCAGGCCCCCCACCCTCCGCCTCCGCCTCCTCTCCAGCCTCCTGCCACATCCCGTGTGTCAGAGCTGCCCAGGCAGCCTCGGTGAGTCACATGGGCAGAGCTGCTCACCTGGCCCGCCCCAGGATGATGTCCTGGGGTAAAGCGTAAGGCCCTGCTTATTCAGTCCCATGGCTGGGAGCTCCTGCCTGGAGCCAGCACCCCCCTCCAGGGTTGTCCGCTGTTCATCCCTTCCTGTTTCTGTGGTCAGATCACTCCTTGGGGCTGAGGTCACAGCTCTCAGGCTCCCTCCTGCCCTAGCAGCTCTCACTCCCTGGAGGCGGACGGAAGGAAGGCAAGTGGCTTCCCTCTCCCGGCCTGTGCCTACCTGGCTGGGCCCCTGGGAGAACTAAAGGTGAGAATTCTTAGCCTGGGGTAAGAAAAGCTCTGTGTATATCACACGGCAGGAGGGTTTAGAAGCCACATCACTGGAGCAGCTATGAGGGCCGTAGTTGCTGTTCCAGGCGGCTCTTGGGTGATGCAGATGCTGGGAGTTGTCGGAGGTCATAAAACCAACCTCAGTGGGCTTCCTGGAGGAGGTGGGCCCCCCAAATGAGTGAGGTTTGGCTAGACAGAGAAGAGAGGTAAAGACAACCCAGGTCTGGTGTGGGGACGTAGTGGCAAAGGCCCAGAGGTGGAGACTTAGGGCTAGTCGAGGGGCCCAGAGCGGCTGGTCTGTGGGTCCCAGAAGGTGTAACAGCAGCTGAGGAGCCTGCAAGGTCACTTGCCAGGCTAAGGAGTGAGGGCCTTGCATTCTGCCCTCAGATTTTCCTGTGGCTGCCTTCTTCTTACTCTTCAAGTTTCAGCTCAGATATCCTCTTCCCAGAGAAGCTTCCCTTTCAATTCCTTCCTAGCCTTTCTCAGATGTTGCCTTGTTCTGGGGCTTCCTCCTCTCCCTAGACCGTAAGCCTGATGAGGACAGAGACCCTGTGTGTCTCATGCATGGCTACACACCAGAGCCTGGCATACAGAGGCATTCTACATACACACGGAGTGAAGAGTTGAGTACCGGATGGTCACTGGGGAGCCACCGATGGTTCTGGAGCAGAGGAGGTGCAGAAGTCATAGAAACTGACTCAGGGGAGGCCGAGTGAGGCCTTGGATAGGGTCAGGAACAGGGTCTGGGAAGAGAGCAGGCTGGGTCCAACTTGATGATTCTGAGCAGGAACGACTCTCCTAGCTCAGGGAAACGCAACTGAAGGGATGCTTACCACACCTACCAGCCCCACTCTGGTTTGGGAGGACCCGTGAGGCTGCCTTCCTGGGGTAGCCATTCACCCAGGCACTGTATATTTTCCAGAGCCGAGGTGGAATTCGGGACTTCCCAGTGTACACAGGGAAAGACCCGAGCAACCACCAGTCCGGCCCCTTTGTGGGGTGCAAACGGAGGCCACCCAGGGCAGTGGCCATACTACTCAGGCAGAGCACAGTGGGAAGGCAGCTTCCCAGCCTAGGCCTGTGGTGGCCAGACTCACACCCTGCTACAGGGCACCCTGAGTGCCCAGGCACATATCCAAGTGGTCAGAAGCAAGGACAGCCACTTAGCCTGGAGTCAGTAAGGCTCGGTGTATATCAGCTCTGGGTCCCATCCTTATCTGAAGCCTCCATTTGGCCATCTGATCCCCGGTGCTGGTCAGGGCCATGCGAGGGCCCCAGGGGGAGATGCCCACAGGGTCCTGCAATGTGCTATTTGTAATTCAAAAGCATGGGGTCTCACCGCAGGGCCTCCCCCACAATAGGCTTCCACGGGCCCCACGCACAGCAGAGGTGGGGAGCTGACAGGAGAGAGGGGGCCAGCCCACAGCCGCTCCTGGCTGAGCATCTTGGAAAGGATCACAGATGTGTTTATCACTGCTCCCTTGCTCTTGCTGTGAGAAGACAAGACTCAACCCGACCGCAGGCTCTGGGCTTGTCGGCAATGGTGAGAGAGAAAAGGGGGAGGAAGTCGGGGATGGGGTATGTGTCCTAAGGGGCAGAGGTGGTGGCAGGCCCCGTGAGGGGAGACCCAGGGCAGCCCACCGCCTCCCCTGGCAGATGAGGGAGAATAAAGGCCATGGGGCGCCCTGCCCTTACAGGTCTCCAGCTTGGGCGTGAGCCCGGGCAGAGCCAGGCGCTCACCTGCAGATGTGGGGCCTGGGCCTGGGGAGGTGGCGGCACCGCTGCGGGCCAGCAGGGCTTTCCCTCCCCACACCGTCTCATGCAGTTGTGTGGTCCGCAAGGTCGATTTAGAGTGTGGGCAGGTGAGAAGAAAGAGGTGGGGTGCCGACAGCTCTTTTGGGGAGGTGATTTTACAATTACAGTCTCTGCCTACTGGCATTTTAGGGCCGTAATATTTATGGATTGAAATCCCAGACCGTTCAGGTTTGGATTGTAGGATATTGGTTCACATCCTCACACGGGGAGTTTGGAATCATAGGATCTTTGGTTGGGAGGGAGAGAGGTGTCGGAAGCGCTGGGCTGAAATCTTTGGATGGCGGAATCTGTGGCTTTGCATGATTTCTTTCCAGCCTTTTGGGGAGATGAACTAGTCTGGAGACCTCTAGGAAGAAGGGACTCTTTAGCAGGGCTTTGAAGGATAAGTAAGAGACCTATTCACAAGGCAGGTGGGAAGGAGGAGGGTAGTTCAGGCAGTGCGGGTGGCCGGTGTGGTGCTCTGTGTGTCCGGGAGAGAGGGGTAATAGGTGATGTACAGGCTGTACAGGGAGCTAGGACCAAATGCAGGGCCTTGAATGCCAGTTCAAGGAGTAAGACATTCCCCTTCTGTAGGAGGTTCTTGAAGGGGCTTTGGTCGGGGAGTGTGTGGGCAGGGTTCCGGCCCTCTCTGGGGCAGAGTGGAGAACCGAGTGAAGGGGCAGGGCAGCAGCATGTGCCCAAACCTAGTGGGGGCCTCGGGGGAGTGCGGAGGGACAGCCATTTAGGAAGCAGAATAGAGGGCGCCTGGGTGGCTCAGTTGGTTGAGCGACTGCCTTCGGCTCAGGTCATGATCCTGGAGTCCCGGGATCGAGTCCCACATCGGGCTCCCTGCTCGGCGGGGAGT